CATGCCATCTCAAGTTTACAGAATGACAACAGGAGACCCTAAGGTCCAACGCAAGGCACCTAGTACTTGTCAATAGATATTTGTTGACATTTCTATCACTTCCTATTTGTAGACAAAGATACCCAATAAATAATTTCAGATGCTGTACAGTATGAAGGAAATGCCACAGCTAGGATTGACAAAGCAGAAAGAAAATGGGGACTCTTCTTTGTTGGCAAGGTATTTTAATAGTTGTTCAAATGTTTCATTGTGGACTGATGACTAAAGAGAAAGGGAGGGTCAGCAGTAGACTCTCTCCCTTCTCCTCTGCTCAGGGGAGAGCTGGTAAAGATGAGACCAAGAATAAAAGGAAAGAAGCAAAAAGAATGTCAAAGATGGTTCATAAACTGACCATGATGATACATTATCCAACCCTAGGTAGCCAGAGCATTCTGGGGGGCAGGGTCTGTGAATATCTTTGAATATGCTTAGAATCTCCAGCAAAAAAAAAAAGGGAAATAATTTCTTCAGCTGAGTATCAAAATATATCAAGTATTACACTGGTTCTTGAAGTATATGCATCTATGATTGAATACATAGTAAGTATATCAGATTATTCATAGTACACTGTCATTATTGAAAGTTTTTATAAGGGGTTAAGTCATTATGTTTCTCAGCTTAGTTAAGCCAATGAATATCATTGTCAGTATCCATATAATAGCCATGATTTTAGAAGTGATAGAGAACTTCACTGTTAGGAGCTACTTAGTGGCTGAAAGAAAAATAGTCTGCCTTAAAACTAATGTAAAGCTTGGGTCATACATGTACAGTGTGGATATATAACATTAGATAAATCATTCATAGACTCTAGGCTAGAGCAAATTTAGACATTCCTCATTGTATAGGTTATCTTAATATTGGGTTAAGATGAAACAATTTCAATATTGGGTTAAAATGAAACCATCTAGCACTAGGTAAGACTGAGAAAACATAATTAAAATAAATGCCACTTTGAAGCAAATGTAATTTTTTTAAAGCCAGTTTTGATTTTGCTAGTGCTGGGCAGAAGTCTTGTCTAAGACACTATAATACTTTATTGAATCTAGGTAAACTGGTATTTCAGTAACATTTAAATTTGAGATAAAGATTTGCTTTTAAAGAATCATAGAACCTTTTTCCCACTTGTAAACACAGCGTTAAAAGGCTTTTCTTGGGGAAAGAAATCTGTGAGGAGGGTACTGGAAATTCCTATAAAAATACCATTTGAAAATCCACAGAAAAGAATATCATAAACTATAAAGATAAAAGATAGATATTCAAGATTGATCTATACTTGGCAAATCTATACTTGCTTATGAAATTTTCTTTTCATCTCTAGTACTGAAAAAATATATAGTTTTATAGTATCCATACATACATATAGTTTTAGAAAACTAGAAAAAATATTATCATGTTTATATATATATATCTAGAAAAATAAAGCAAGCATTATTACATTAATACCAAATGCTGAAATTTTTTTAAAAAATTATTTCTATTTTCTAATCAATGAAGCAAATGGTATAGGTGTTTTTGAAATACAGCATTCATTTGATTCTTATTCAATTCCTTTGATTTTTCTAAGAAATAAAGTTCTTGAAATATGCTCATGCTGTTCAAAATTAAATTAAGTTTACCTTACACTTACCTTCCAAAACAGTGACAGGTTGGATGCTTAATGTGCAGTGCTGATAGTAAAAAAATATTGAAAAGTCAGCTTCCTTCTTTTAGGGTTAATTCCATAGAGTTGCACCCTAGCTACAGATCAGATAGATGCTCATTTTCATGTGCTTTCCATGCAGATTCCACTTCCTCCAGGCTTTTTGGCAACAACTCTAGGTGTCAATGAAAGTTATATAATGCCTTTTGTGGCTGAGTAGTTCAATTGCTTGAGGATCTATAATTTGTTTTTCCTTTATGTTTATCTTTTACAAATACATATTATCAGAAATTATTTATTCATTCATTCATTCAATCATTTAGTGGGGTGGGGATCCAACTAAGTGTCTTACACATACCAGGCAAGTGCTCTACCACTAAGCTAAATAGATTTTTAGACGTTCTTGAGTTTTCTTGTCCCTGACTGGTAACGAATTCAGAAAAAAACATGATAGTAGGACTTCCTAACAAGGACTCCCTATGTTAAGTTGAGCATCAGTTCCTAGAATCTCACTAGTAAGAGATCTTAGTGGTGAAAGAGATCTTTGATAACTACTTAATTACAGCCTTTCATTTTATCACTGAGAAAAGAAAGGCCCAATGAAGTCAAATGTCCAAAGAGCAAGATACTTTGTGCCAGAATGGAGGGACTAAGGCTCCAGTGTCTCTTCCAGTTTAGGGTCCCTTACATCTTCAACAGCAACATTCATACAGGTCTCTTAGGCACCTCGTTAAAACGCAAACTCCTCAGTGGTTCTGGACTGGGACCTGGGATTCTGCTATACAAGGTTCTGGGAGATGCTGATGCTGTTGATGCATGGAAAACACTTTGCATACTCATTGGGCTTTGTACCATTAGGAAATAACTAAGAAACTTTATCCCCTAAGTGAAGAGAGACAGATGCAAAAGCATAGTTCTGGCTCAGATGCAGCTGATAATTCCAAAACAGGACTTGTATACTTTAAGTTGTCTGAATGTTACTATACCAGATAATCTATAGGATCTCACAATAGGCATAATGCTAGTTAGATGTCATAATAAATGGAAAAATGATAAGGTAAGACTTTTGACCCCATTTATGTAGCCCTGTGCCTACTACTTGCACATATGGCATCTAAGATGCCTAAGTGACAATTTCCCAATAAATAAATTCCTTCTCTTAAGAAACTCATGATTCTGCAGCTATTTGTTCATTTCCTGATACTTTAATGATAGCATTTTCAACCCTAAATGAATCGTATCCCCCATCCCTGTCCCTCAGCAGTAGAATGTTCATATATTTTACACTATGTTCATTATTTTATTGTGTTCTCAATAGGAGAATTTAAATTTTATCAAGAGTGGCATCAGGTAAGATAAAAGTTATTATAGAATATATCCTTAGTTCTGTAATTATCTGCTCAAGGATCAGTTATGTCTATATTGATTTATAGTCCTGCGTTCATGAATAAACAAATGAAACTATTTTCTTCAGAAATTACTTTGTCAAATAAGTTATATGGAGGTTTTCCACTTAGTTTTCATATATGTTTGTGTATACATTCTTACCGAACCATGCAGCATAACTTTTTTGTGAGAAGCAGGCTTCTTTCATGTTTATAGTTCTGCACATATTTCTCTAGGTAAGTTTTTCCAGAATTTCCTGCAACGAAAGAATTGCAAATAAAAAAAAAAAAATCAGTTCATTTGTATAAATGTGTTTTAAAGAGATCCAAAGAGCTGTATCAGTACAAGATACTTGTTGTTTAAGTTTATTATATTAAACTTATAAGATTTTAGTGATCATAATTATACTGTACAAATTCTCATGGAGCAAAAAAATAGGAAACTGCCAATATTTTATCTTACAGGCTGTTCTTCATATGGTACCAAATCACTTGATGACGGTTGTTTTTGGTATTGAGTTTGGTTTGAAGGGGAAAAAAAATTCACTCTTGTATTTGTAAACAATTGCTTTATTTATATCTCCTTGATGCAAAAATGGTAATATGTATTCTTACTTTGGAGAAGAAAGGGTTGTATAAAATCATATAGGTATCTGCTGTCAAATTAGATGCAGATGAAATTAGAAAGTTTGCATTAGTTTGATAACAAAGGCCATGTTTAGAACCACGGTGAACTTTGACCAAAGTCAGTGCAGTAACATTTATCAGAGCTAAAGTATATGTAGATTGGTGCTTTGCATGAAGATTTTGGTAGACTATTAAAAATTGTGGCAATATTTTTAAAATTGTGACTATAAATATGAAACATTCAAGTAATGTTTTTTCATATGTACCTTTGCTTTCTAGGAGACTTCTATACCCTTATTTATTAAAATATGATACTGTAAAGTGCGTCCAAACTGAAATACTTCAGATACTAAAACAATAGCAACAAAATCAGCAGTTTTTAAGGACTTTCATATCTGAGCAGATCCCCACTGCAGGACCTTCAAAATAATACTGTATCAAAATTCTAGAATTTTCTAAGTTAACATAAATTAGTGAATAAAATGTAAATTTTTTGTAATTTCAAAATAGTTTTACCTTAAATGCAAAAATGGCATGAGTAAAATACTTCTACTGAAGAATAACTTCTAAATTTAAAGGCATTTAAATATCTTTCATTTGGAATAATTGCATTAAGTGAAATATATGCTAATAAAAACCTGCTTCTGTCTTTCAGTACTTAAAAAATGAAACTTAATTTGTAAAATCTTCTAAGAAACAGGGACTGTAGTTTTTCTTGTCATTAATTGCTAGAGTATAAAAATGCTTGACTTCTATTGTTTGGTTGAACTTAGAATTTAGAAAATTGCTGTGAAATAAGTATGAAATTGGATGCAGATAAAATTAGAAAGTTTGCATTAGCTTGATAACTAAGGCCATGGGTAGAACCACCTGAACTCTTACAAAAGCCAGTGCTTTAATATAGAAGAAGGCTGGGGATATAGCTCAGTGGCACAAGCGCCTGCCTGGCAAGCGCAAAGTCATGAGTTCGATCCGCGGTACCAAAAAAAAAAAAAGTACTGTAGAAGAATCGACGCTCAGTGCCAAAGGGGAAATGAGGGCAGCCCCTGCCTTGCCACCCCTGTTCATCTTTCAATGTCACTGTAGTTGAATTTCAGTTAACTAATCTTTTGAAGATTGATGCAAAAAACAGCAAATATCATACCCCACCATTTTCATGAGACATGGTTTTCTGGCTGTTGTGTCTTTCCTTTATGTTGTTCAGTACCAGGTCATTTTTAGGAATCTCCATATTCCATAGGAGGAAAATTGCCAGTCTGAAAGCTCAGTGTCTTTGGCATTCTATTGCTTATCACATTTTTGCCCTCTAGGTGCCAACCTGGATTCACTGGAGCAAGATGTACTGAGAATGTGCCCATGAAAGTCCAAATCCAAGAAAGTATGTTAAAATAATCTGAAATTTGCTTTCTCCCCCAAAGTACAGCAACAGTCACTACCACTTGGTGCTTTTACAGCTCAGTTGTAACTGATTCCTTTTGTTCTAATTGTGGTTTATCCACTCAAGAGCATGAACCCTTTCACCATGATCCTACTTAAGTGTCTTTCTACATAGATCTTAAAGTCACACGTATGACAGAATGGCAGTCAGGACTGCCCATGAGGCTGGCAAGCCAACCAAAAACACTTCCTTCCAACATCTTCGACCAAAACCATCAAAATGCAAAACTGAGATCACTATAATGTCAGATCTTAATTTTTAAGTTTCCCTTTGAAAGAAAGCCGTCACTTTAAATGCCGGGATCTTTCTGTCATACAAACCCAGGAAGTACATTTTGTCCAAATTTTGAACTATATGGGGGACATGCCAGAGCCTGAAAGCCATGATTAGGACAAAGATTCAGTTCCTGAGGGTGAACTCACCAAGGTCAGTGAAAAGACACTGAAGGAGCTTCTTTCTAGCATATATTCACCTCTTCTCTTTTTCTCTGTTTTTTTCTACCATTGTTTTTTGTTTCTTCTCTCAGGTGCCCAAATGAGTTTACTGGTGATCGCTGCCAAAACTACGTAATGGCCAGCTTCTACAGTACGTCCACTCCCTTTCTGTCTCTGCCTGAATAGGAGCATGCTCAGTCGGTGCTGCTTTCTTGTTGCTGCGTCTCCCTCAGATTTCACCTAGAGCTAGCTGTGTTTTACCAGGTCTAATATTGACTGCCTCTGCCTGTCGCATGAGAACATTAACAAAAGCGATTGTATTACTTCCTCTGTTTGTGATTAGTTGGCTCTGAGGTACTAATAGGTGTGTGAGGCTCCAGATGTTGCCGAAATTGATACTGCATAATGTGATGCAAAATGATAGTCAATATCAAGCAGTGAAATTATAATAAAGGCATTTAAAAGTCTCACTTTTATTGGTAAAATAAAATCATTGCCCTGGGCAGTCCATCTTCTGTATCCATGTCAGCATCCTGAAAAGGGTGTTGCTAAGCTGTAACCAATATGCACTTGAAATGATGGTAAGTTAACTTGGTCTCAGAGTGTGTTCTTTATAACAAATAAACATCATAAAAAGAGCTCAGATGTTTCTCTTCATTAACCAAATAGTTTGCATGTAGGCATTTAAAAGAAAGCATAAGTAGGACAATTAAAAACAAACATTTCACAGCAAATGAACTATCTTGGCTTCTATTTCTGCTGCTAAGAGAATCAGTAATTCAGGGCTAGTTTAAATAATCATTTTGGGGCTTGGATTTTTTTATTTTAGCATTCATTATGTTAGTTTCAAAGGTGATTTTAAGAGGAAAATAATTACTGTTACTTTAAATAATATTTATTATTTTAAAATTAGTGATTCAGCTCTAGAATATGTATGTATTTTTTACAAGCAGAATTGAGAAATTCTAATGGATTTCTGTGGCTCCATGGTGTTTTGAACATCATTCCTAAAATACCCAATTCACATTGTTTATAACAGCATGGATAACTAAACTATTTATTTGTCCTGCTGTTGTGAACTGGGATTATAGCTTTTGGTTCTAGAGCTTTCAAAACATTTCCTTCAAAATGAATTCCATTTGGTTATCCATTCAGCACAAGTGTTAGCAAATTTTTTATGGATAGTTTCAGATAGCAAATATTTTAGAGCTTGTGGTGGTGCCATCACTGTCTTAACCACTCATTTCTACCACTGTAGCATAAAAGCAGCCATAGACAGTCCATAAACTGATGGATGAAGTTGTGTCCTATGATATCTCCATTTCCAAAAGACTAGGCAGTGGACTGGATTTAGCAATCCCTGACTTGTCTTCTACTGTCAGTTGCTCGCCCTGAAAAGTATCCACATAGATCACTGGAGTTGAAATTTATATAACACCATAGTGACACAGCTGGTCATTTAGGGGCTTTAAAAGAATCCTTGTTATGAGGCATGAGAAGAATAGGATTACATTAACAGTCGTGGAAGTTTTGAGAATGAATTCTATAATGCACTATGGCAAGATTATACCCATAGCGGTCACTTTGTGAAGTGAAGCTTCCTATATATTTACATAAACTACATATCAAAGATTATATCACAGATCATTTTCTATTATAAAAATAGACATTGCTAAATTTTCAAACTTCACTCTATTCATAACTAATTAAATAATATCCAATTATTGAACAAGATATTTCTCTCTATAGCTATAGATTTTTAAAGATACATAAGAATAGCAAGTAAAAATCAAAGCCAAAAAAATTTATTGATTACTTTAAAGCCATTCTTGTTAGCAGTTTGTGCTGATATTCAAATAGCATAGATGTAGCAAATCCACTTGGCTCTGTAAATACAATAGCATCAAATTTTAGAAATTAATAAAAATTTTGAACACTTAAGTTACATAGTTTCATTGTGCAGTGCAGGCAATGTTTGGTCACTTTATAAAGAAAAACACAAAAAGTGAAGGTATTTCCCAGAATAGTAATGCAGTTAGAGCTGAGAAGAGTAAGCAAAGACAATGTTTTCATTCACTTTATGACCATTTTCTCTTTCATAAGAGATCCCTTAAAAATAGCAACTCTTTATTTGTGAAGTCCAGAGAGTGAATCCTTAAATAAAATCTTTAGTAAGATTTTAGTGACACTTTTGGAAAACATCCAGGAAATTATCATTCATATTTAACCTGATTTAACCAAGATTGATAGAAGCATATTTACCCCTCCCCCCAAAAAATGTAATGACTGTGCATTATTGATGCCTGGTGTCTGGAAAGCTAGAGGTTCCAATCAGACATTTGCTTTCCACAATTGTTCTGCCCACAGTTAAATTTTTTAACCTCTATGTCTGAAATTCTCATTTTTTATCTCAACAAACTCCCGTGTGGAAGACAAGAAAATAAATTTTGCTGCACCAAGAAAGAACTTTATGTTCAAGTAGCAGTGAAGGTTGAAAAAAAGGGTTAGAAAATGTTATTACAGAGGTCATTTAAAATTTAATTGTAGACTTAGCGTCTGAAGAGAATAATATAAATTTTCAAGGAAAAAAGAGTCCCTATTATCAAAGTGAAACCATTAAATCTTACCAAGCCACATTTTCTCTTGAAGGATAACATTCTAAAAGAATGTCTATAATTTTTTAAATGCTTGTTGACAGATAAATTACATAGTCGAATTTGCAAGTGATTCTGGTCAGAATGTCCTATGGGGCATGGTTTAAAATATGATAAGAAAAAATGCATATTTTATAAGACAACCATTTGTCTTAAAAAATAACATTTATAGTACTTCCTAGGAAAATGCTATCAAGCTGAGTCAGCTTCAAAATCAGCCTATCTTGACACAATTCCTAATTGATAGAATTGTGTCCATCAATATGCAGTGTGGGTTATGGACTTTGTGTTTGTATGTGTGTGTACACATGTGTGTATGTTTGTATATAGGTAGTCCTTAATATATAGACTTTCCAAGAAAAGAAAAAGCATTTACAGCTTCAATAGTTAGAGACAATATGGACCAAGTACATCCTATAGAAACTAACAAGTAAAAGGAACTAATTATAGAATAGCTCAGTTTATAAAACATTTTAAAAGAGTACAGTTTTAGAATGCTTAGGCACATGCTCAAAATGAGTCAACTTATTGGATATTTTTTAAAGTTTTGAATCATGTTATTAGTGCATCAGTCATTTCATGGATTTCTTTCTAAATGCTTTTAAAACCTGTGAAAGTCATGTATTTACCAATCACGTGTATTGCTAATGGTAGAATAAAGGCACACTCCACCTATGACAAAATTGTCATAGATTCCAACCAAGTGTGAGATTTTACTGCGTGTGTGTTTGTGTGTGTGCTTACTGCCCATGGAAACTTGGGAATAAGGAACAAAGGGCTCAGTGACAATATGGATTGGCATATGTGAAAAAAATGTCTACATTTATAAAGGTAAGTCTAAAATTAAAAGTCAGACACTAAATTGTTCCCATTTAGAACTGGCACTGGCAGAACTCATTTAGAAATCTTAAAATGCAGAAAAACAAGACTGCCCATGTCTTTGAGTTTATTTGCATAAACAAGCCCAAAATCCTAAAGAATAAAATCCTGAATATCTTCAAATTTTAGCAGAAGCTATAATAGCAGTGGATATATAATTTTAGTGAAAGAAAGCTATTTTATTATGCTTTTTCTCTAATACAACTGAAAATTTAAATTAACCTCCAGGTTAATCAGTTTTCTTCAAGCAATTATAAAATCCTAAGGCAAAGGATTAGTGAGTCAATATTTAATAATTTCTGAAGACTCAGGTTTAAATTAATTTTTTATATTGCTTAGGGCACAGCAGGAAATCACATGTAGAAAAGAAAACTAAATTGTTTACAGTAACCTTTGCGTTTTTGAATTATTAATTTAATTTGAAAAATGTAGTGCCTAGGCAGAAGTTCAATAGGAAGCCTGTGACATGTAATGAGCCTAAGCCAACATTAGATTAAACAGAACAGATAGAAAGAAATAACCTCTTCATCAAATGGAAAGTGTTGCATATTCTGCTTTTTTGACTCATGATGAAAAATTGTAGCTACCAATAGTAAAAATAAATGAGAGCGGTGTTTGCTCTGGGTCTAGAATGACGGATGCATGCTTCCTCTGCTTGTTTCCTTGTTAGGGCTTATGGCCAGAAGGATTCCAGTTTTAAGTACCAATTTCCCATTGAATTATTTGAAATTGGAACTGCCTGATACGAATGACTTCCCTTGAAATGAAATTATCGTTAGGCTCAGAGACTTACCTATAAAACTGTAACTGCAGTAATATGTATGCATGGGCATGCTACTAATTTTATTGAAGACTTAACCAAGCTTTCTACGCAACTAATATAGATCATTAGCAGTGTTCACGTAGGCATAAAATAATGATTCCTTGGAAAGGTTTTCTGTAGCTGTCTTGATTCTAACCCTTAAATTATCAC